CATACAACATCCGGTTTCTCCGATATTAAAAATTTGCGAGTCAAAAATGTCAAATTCTTGTATCTCCGGATTGTTGTGTGTGTCCGACATGATTCAAAAATGGAACAACAAATCTCATTTGCGATGTTTATAAATTTGTTGATCACTGCGGGTGATCATCAGAAGATTAGTGTGTTTATTATTATTGTTGAAGTGTGAAATAGAGATTTTATTAGAAGTAGTTTCTGATTTTATTCAAATCTTATGGCTATCTACAAAAACGATAATACTAGATTCAAATTGAATAGGTCAATGATGTCACCGATCCTTGAAGTCCTCATTGACATTATTACGTGAGCTAAAATAATCAAAGAAATTATAAAAAAAAAAAAAAAAAGCGCTAGAACAAATTGTCCTGAATATGAAATGTTATATTACTTAAATAAAGACGTATTATTTCGCGGTTCTATCTACGTATTGAATATTGTTACACGAAAATAGTAACTACAAAAGTACATAATAATTTACAATTATTTTCTTTTACTAAGAGTTTTACTACCCTCGCTGGAAGTAGTAGTTGTCTCAGTGGTGGTAGTAGTATAGGTGACAGTGTTGCCGGAGACATCGGTGGTGGTATCAGTGGCGGTGTCAGTGGTGGTATAAGTGCCGTATCCACCAGCTCCACCAGCTCCTCCAGTGTATCCTCTTTCTGGACCCTCATAATTCATGGTGGTGACCTCTGTAGGACCCTCGTATTCAGTTTCTCTGGTGATAGTGGTGACACCGTTTTCATCCGTAACTGTCGTAATTTTAGTTATGACATTACCTTCTTTAATTATTTTCGTTTCACTCGTTGCTTTTGATGGTGTAATCATTTTCCCTGTAGAAAATTCCTTGACCACATTTGTTTCCGCTGATCCACTTCCTCCCTTTACTGGTATCATTTTCCCTGTAGAATATTCCTTGACCACATTTGTTTCCGCTGATCCACTTCCTCCCTTTACTGGCATCATTTTCCCTGTAGAATATTCCTTGACCACATTTGTTTCCGCTGATCCACTTCCTCCCTTTACTGGTATCATTTTCCCTGTAGAAAATTCCTTGATCACTTTTGTTTCCGTTGATCCGCTTCCTCCCTTTACCGGTAATACTCTATGCTCAATAGTCTTTCCATCCGAACCGATATTTTTCTGAGCTGAACCGACGTTCATCGAATCCTTGTCAGCAAAAATGGTCCCCTTATTCTTCATGACTTCTTGATTCTCACCACCAGGAATGATGACATGTTTCGGTGGTGCTAATTTGGGAGTTCATTAAATAAACGAACATTATATCTCTACTTGAAGATAAATAGGAAGGAATAATACGTTTTGGCATAAACTTACTTGAATGATATTCACTTGTGAGTAGAGTGCCATGAGTGCCGTGAGTGCCGTGAGTAGTTATAGGTGGCAAATTGTAACCCGTAGATCCTATTTCAGCATATTCATTTGAATCGGGACCATATGCATGTGGTTCGGGACCTGCACCGACGATAGTTGTAT